AGGAGAAGAGAGAAGAGAGGAGAAGAGAGGAGAGGAGAGGAGGAGAGGAGAAGAGAAGAGAAGAGAGGAGGAGAGAAGACAAGAGAGGAGAGGAGAGGAGGAGAAGAGAGAAGAGAGGAGAAGAGAAGAGAAGAGAAGAGAAGAGAAGAGAAGAGAAGAGAAGAGAAGAGAAGAGAAGAGAAGAGAGGCTGGCGTTGTCTGCTAGTGCCCAGGATGCCCCTTCCGACCTGAGGGGGCAGGAAGGCGGCCTGCCGAGTAGGAGTGTGTAGGGCAAGCCTTGAGCACTGGTGGTGTGGGCCGTTTGGTGGAGGCCCGCTGTGCCCCCGAGAGACGATGGCACCGAGGCTCTCCTTCTTCGTGCCAAGCTAGGCTTGGAGGAAGCAGGAGGGAGCCGACGCTGAAGAGAAGCAAGAGCCTCCAGACCCCTCAGAGAGGTGGCTCTCAGGTTGGCAAGGCCTGGGTTGCTCTCTGATGGCTGGCAGCTTCTGTGAGTTGTGCCTCAGCTAGGTGAATGTCCCAGGGGGTGCCTGGGGGAAAGAGAAGGCAGATGCGGCCAGAGGGTCCCCTGCCAATTTAGTGTAGTGGTTAAGTGCGTGGACTCTAATCTGGGAGAACCGGGTTTGATCCCCTACTCCTCCACTTGCAGCTGCTGGTGTGACCTGGGGTCAGTCACAAGTTCTCTCAGAGCTCTTCTCTCAGGGACAGCTCTGGAAAGAGCTCTCTCAGCCCCACCTACCTCCCAGGGTGTCTGTTGTGGGGAGGGGAAGGGAAAGGAGATTGTAAGCCACTCTGAGACTCCTTTGGGTAGTGAAAGGCGGGGTATAAATCCAATCTCCTCCTCCTCCTCCTCCTCCTCTTCTTCTTCTTCTTCCCAGCCTTGGGTTGAAGAAGTTCCCGTCAGAGTCCCTAAGAATAAACAGAAGGGCACTAGGCGGGTTCCATCTACTCAGCAAATAATGGGCAAGTGCGGATTCTTTAGAGAGTCCTGAACTGGCAAAGAACTAATCCCTCCCTTAAGCATTCCTTTACAGAGCAATGCTACAGCACACGTCTGATCGTCACCGCCCATAAGAACATAAGAGACGCCAATGTTGGATCAGGCCAAAGGCCCATCCAGTCCAACACTCTGTGTCACACAGTGGCCAGAAATACCAGTGGCATCAGGAGGTCCACCAGTGGGGCCAGGACATTAGAAGCCCTCCCACTGTTGACCCCCCCAAGCACCAAGAAGACAGAGCATCACTTGCCCCAGAGCCCCTATCTATACCTTGTGGCTAATAGCCACTGATGGACCTCTGCTCCATATGCTTATCTAATTCCCTTTTGAAGCCGTCCATGCTTGTAGCACCCACCACTTCCTGTGGCAGTGAATTCCATGTGTTAATCACTCTTTGGGTGAAGAAGTACTTCCTTTTATCCGTTCTAACCCGACCGCTCTGCAGTTTCATGGAGTGCCCACGAGTTCTTGTATTGTGAGAAAGGGAGAAAAGTACCTCTTTCTCTACCTGCTCTTTCCCATGCATAATCTTATAAACCTCGATCATGTCACCCCTCAGTCATCGTTTCTCCAAGCTAAAGAGCCCTAAGCGCTTTAACCTTTCCTCATAGGGAAAGTGTTCCAACCCTTTTATCATTCGAGTTGCCCTTTTCTGCACTTTTTCCAAAGCTATAATATCCTTTTTAAGGTGTGGTGACCAGAACTGCACACAGTATTCCAAATGAGGTCTCACCATTGATTTATATAGGGGCATTATGATATTGGCTGATCTGTTTTCAATACCCTTCCTACATTTCCCCACAGATATTCCACACCCACTGACAAGAGGAAAATTGCCCCAGACAGGCAGACAGATAGCAATAAAAGCCCATCTGTTCTCCAAAGAAACTTGGGAAACGTGATTTAAGAAAAGGTCCAAAATGTGGCAACAGTGGGAACTACTTGCCTGTTGGGTATAAAGGTAAAGGTTCCCCTGCTCGAAAGCCAGTCGAATCCGACTCTAGGGTTGCGGTGCTCATCTCCGTTTCAAAGCCGAAGAGCCAGCGCTGTCCGAAGACGTTTCCGTGGTCACGTGGCCGGCATGACTAAACACCCAGGCGCACGGAACGATGTTCCCTTCCCACCAAAGTAGTCCCTATTTATCTACTTGCAATGTCTTGCTTTCGAACTGCTAGGTTGGCAGGAGCAGGAACTAGAGACGGGAGCTCACTCCGTTATGCGGCGCACTCGGGTCTCGAACTACCGACCTTCCACAGCCTGCAGTTCAGCCTCTTAACCACTTGAGCCACCGCAGCTCCTTACTGTTGGATCTACCATCCCCAAATTACTCCCTTTGGGGAATCTGTACTAGAAGAACAGATCAAAACGATCACACAGCTAGACATTCCTCTTACACCGGGAAACCTGTTTTTAAATGGAGGGGCTTCAAGGCATTGTTGTTCTTCTTCTAACATGGAAAGGGTCTCTGTTTTGCTCTCTGCAGTTGAAACTGTTGTTGCCACAAACTGGAAAATGACAGCGATATTCGCTCTTTCATATTGCAGGATTTATACATCACGGCTAAGCTTATGGATAATCTTGTGCACTTTGAAAAACATTCTCCACCCTCTAATTTTACTTCTTCCTGCTTCCCCGTCTTAGAATATCTGACCTCTCAACAGGAAATCCCTAAAGTGATGGATGACTTATGTTTGTGGTAAAACCTTTGTCATAGCTGTTAAGTTCCGTATCTCAATCTTCTAGATGTGTTCTTTTTTCTTTCTTTCTTTTTTTACCAATCTCTGGGTAAAATCTCTGTACATATATCTCGGTTTTTACTTCCACTATACTGGCTCTATAACTTTGCTGTGTATTTTTACATTATTTTTTTAATATTTTCATGTTGTTTACAAAATTCCAATAAAACTTGAATTGGAAAAAGAAAGAACAGGTCCTGAGAAATTCTAAGCCCCTTTCCCCCCAACGCACGACATCCCCAGAGCTCCCTGAGCAGAAGAATCTTAACTCAAGTAGCTTAACTCTGGGGTGACTGCTGTGCTGTCAGTAAGTGACTGATAGCAGGTGAGAGAGGCCGCCGAGAGAAGTTCTTCTGCACAACTGCAATTAATGAGACTGGAGTGTGCCCAAGGAGCACTGCAGAGTTCTGATGCGAGAGCATTGCCTTCTCATTTGGGAAAAGCCACAGAGTTCCCTCTAAGCTGAGTTAGTGTGAGCTAGCTCGCAGTTTTTTAGCCTTTGGCTCACACATTGTTTGTCTTCGCTCAGGAAGGAGGGCTCCAGAGCAAACTAATTTATGCAGTAGCCAAATTGCTCGCTCACAACTGTAAGGCCAAGAGCTCGCAAAGGAGAATTTTTGCTCAGAAGACTCCGCCGCTTAGAGGGAACAATTTGCAGTCTGCCAATATTCCTTTGTTTGGTGAGGAGGAATTCCGTCCAGAGCAGCTTCTCCGGGGGGGGGGGGGGGTTTTCCGGCTCACCTCTCTCCTTTCCTGTCCTCCTTTCCCAGTGACCACCATGCCGGCTAACAACGACGGTTGGCCGGAGGAGTTTGGCTTCAGGATCAGCGGGAATGGCCCTTGCTACATCTTGGCGGTGGAAGAGGGCAGCAGCGCCCAGGTGGCCGGCCTCCAGCCGGGGGACCAGATCCTGGAGATCGAGGGCCAGCACGTGTCCGCCATGAACTGCGAGGCCCTCGTCGCCTTGGCCAGGCAGTGCGACACCGTGCCCCCCAGCATCGGGGTGGTCTCACGCATCCAGCAGCTGGACCTCACCCCTGGGCCGGAGGGGCGTTTTGGCTTCACCTTGGCGTGTGATGGAGGGTGCCCCTTGCAGGTGGAGAGCGTGTCCCCCGCCTCGCCGGCCTCCGAGTGCGGGATCAAGGCGGGGGACTATGTCATGGAAGTCAACGGGGTCCCCGTGACACGGTACGAAGAGGCAGCTGCCATGATCCAGTCCTGCCAGGGGCAAGGCCTCCGCCTGGGCCTCCTGCGACTGGGGAGGCTCCAGCGGTGGGCCAGCAGCAGCGTCCGGGAGTTCGTCCAGAGAGCAGACGCCATCCACCAGGAGCGGAGGCAGAAGGCCCAGGAGTTCAGCAAGAAGGTGGGTCTCCGAGGAGGGAGGGGAGGGGCTTGGTCCGTGTTCCCTCTAAGCCGAGCCGGTGTGAGCTAGCTCACGGTTTCTTAGCCTCCGGCTCACACATTCCCGTCCCAGCTCAGGGAGGATGGGCTCCGGAGCAAACGAATCCATGCAGCCGCCCAATCGCTCGCTCACCACTTTAATTCCCCGGAGCTCACCAAGTAGAATTTTGGCTCACGAGACTCCACCGCTTAGACTTAGAGGGAGGCATTGGTCTTGGTTCAAAGGCTGCTTTGTGAGAGTGCAGGATTCAGACAAGGTCTTCGAGTCGGCAGCTCCTGGTTGGGAAATTTGTGGAGATGTGGGGGTGGAGTCAGGGGAGGGCAGGGTTTGGGGGACGGGATGGACACAATGCCTGAAAGTCCACCTCCCAAAGCAGCCCTTTTCTCAGGGGGGGGGACGTCCCTTTTTCATCTGGAGAAACCCCGGGAAATCTCTGGCTACCGCCTGGAGATTGGCAACCCCAGGCAGAGACAGGTGGGGCTCCCCAGACCTGGTGATCCCACACCTTACATGTTTTGATTTCATGTCTTGCCAACTCTGGGTTTGGAAATTCCTGGAGATTTGTGGGTGTTGCCTCTGGAGGGGGAAATTCGGGGAAGGATTTCTCCTGAAATCTATAGGTGTCCAACCTCTGAACGTGCCACTGTCCCCAGCGGGACCAATCCGGTTTGGTGTAGTGGTTAGGAGCGCGGATGGACTCTAATCGGGGAGAACCGGGTTTGATTCCCTACTCCTCCTCCACATGCAGCTGCTGGTGTGACCTTGGGTCAGTCACAAGTTCTCTCAAGGGCAGTTCCTGAGAGAGCTCTCTCAGCCCCACCGACCTCACAAGGTGTCTGTTGTGGGGAGGGGAAGGGAAAGGAGATTGTGAGCCACTCTGAGATTCCGAGTGAAGGGTGGGGTATAAATCCAGTCTCCCCCGCCTCCTCCTTTTCAATCTGGAGATGAGTTGTAATTCGGGGAGATCTCCAGGCCACATCTGGAGGTTGGCAGCTCTTGTGGTGAGGAGAGTTCATTCCCAGTGCAGAATTGGGGGGGGGTTGCTTTTCACAGCATTGCTCTTTGTTGAAATAATCCTATAGGTTAGAGCACTTCTCATGATATGCTGGTGGAAACTAGAGTGAATTTTTTCTTTGTTGTACCATAAGTATGCGTGCCAACCCATACTAAGATCACGACCTTCCAAATTTAATGTTCTTGTATCTTCTAGCTTAATCCAATCTTTGATCCACACTGCAGTCGCAGCCTGGTAGTACAAATCCCAATTAGGTAAAGCAAGTCCGCCTCTTTCTTTTTTATCTTGTAATAGTTTCCATTTGATTCTTGCCTTTTTGGGGTACCATATGTACTGTCTAGTAATCTTATCCATCTCTGTGAATATTTGCTTTTTCTTCAAAATAGTCAAATTTTGGGCTGGAAATAGAAAGCGGGGTAATATATTCATTTTTACAGAAGCTATTCTTCCCATGAATGAGAGCTGAATATCTTTCCATTTCAAAAGATCATTTTTTAAACTTCTCCGATGAGCTTCTTAAGAAGCTCCTAATGTCAGACTGGTGTCCACTAATTCTTTGTCGAAGGGACTGGCCTGTTTGTCACATGTAGAGGGTGGAAGGGCACTGCTGACACGTGATTTACATTAGAGGACGAGCAGGAGCAGGGCTATTTTTGAGTAGGAACTCATTAACATAATAGGCCACACCCAACATCAGAAACTCATTAGGATTGGCTACATTAGGAGTGTGCGGCCTAACATGCAAAGGAGTCCCTGCTACAAAAAAAAAGCCCTGGGTTTTTACAACAAACAAGGTAGACAGAATAAGAAGCAAAAAGTGGGTGTGGCTGGATGACCACACTTCTGGTAACACGGGGGTGTAGCCTAATATGCAAATGAGCTGTGCTGTCAGGGGTGTGGCCTAATATGCTAATGAGTTTCTGCTGTTGGGTGTGGCCTATTATGCTAATGAGTTCCTGCTGGGCTTTTTCTACCAAAAAAGCCCTGAGCAGGAGTATGAACCTGAGATAGTCTGGCTGATATTGCTGGGTCCACTGAAGGTGTTGCTAAGACCCATACGAGAGCAAATAATATAATATATAATAGTATAATAATTTGAAGGTGCCCCTCATTTTCTACTAGCTAAAAGGTTAACCCAAGTTGACTATTTATTGTCCAGAAATCCTCCTTATGTGGACATCCAAATCGCCTCCTAAGTATCCTGCTCGGATGGTAGGTCCCGAACCCAGAGGGAGCTTCCATGGCAACAAGAGAGACAGGCCTCCAGAGACAGGCCGTTGCCTTCTGAACGTGGCTTCCCTTCCAGACCGCTTTCCCGCATGCTCAGTTACAAAGGGATTGGTGAATGGACGGGGAAGTCCCTTTCTCCCTTTTCTCATTATCTAGTCTCAGCGGGAGGCCCAGGGATGCTTCCGTGTAGGTTCTGCAGTCTTTGGCCCGGGATGAAGGGACCGTTCACGCATGATGGGGGGGGGGGCGGCACAAAAGAAGAGCCAGTTTGGTGTAGTGGTTAAGTGTGCGGACTCTAATCTGGGAGAACCAGGTTTGATTCCCCACTCCTCCACTTGCACCTGCTGCTGTGACCTTGGGTCAGTCACAAGCTCTGGCACAGCTGTCCTTGAAAAAGAGCAGTTTGTGTCAGAGTTCTCTCAGCCCCACCCACCTCACAGGGTGTCTGTTGTGGGGAGGGGAAGGGGAAGGAATTTGTAAGCCGCTCTGAGACTCCAAGTGAAGGGCGGGGCATAAATCCTATCTCCTCCTCCTCCTCCTCTTCTTCCTCTTCTTCCTCTTCTTCCTCTTCTTCCTCTTCCTCTTCTTCTTCCTCTTCTTCTTCCTCTTCCTCTTCTTCCTCTTCTCTTCTCTAAGAAGAGGCCTGTGGAAGCATCAGGGACATCTATGCCAGGCCCTTCTGCTTAAATGTACAGCCTTCTTTTCCTCCTAAATTGGTCTCTCTCCATTTCTTTCATGGAGACATAAGGCATATTTGCAATCGTATTGCAATCGTACATAAGGCATAATTGCTATCGTATTGCACTGGTGTCTGAAAGACAATCAAACCCTAACCTGTATAGCCCAGTCTTGCCCGATCCTGTCAGATAAGCAGGGTCGGCCTTGGCTAGTATTTGGAAGGGCAGCCTCCAAGGAATACCAGGGTCACGACGCAGAGGCAGGCGATGGCAAAACCACCTCTGAAACGTCTCTTGCCTTAAAAAGAACCCACAAGTCTAGCTCGCCACCTAGTGGTGCATAACGCTAAAAGAGCTAGAACTTCTGGCTGCCAGACAATCTTAGGATCTCCTGGCTATTCTACACACAATGACATACGATAATAATAATTATTAATCAAACCGCAACTCAGCCTGGCCTTCCAAATGCACTGAGATGATTGACAGGCAGGTGGCGCTTAAATCTTGCCAAATACATTTCAAGGTGCTGCATGCACAACCGGCGTAGCTGCTGGACCTCCATCAGGGTTTTTGTGGGGCTCTGGCCGAGAAGAGCCTCTCCCAGGGCGTGGCCACTGCCTTGTGACACAGAGCCAGGTTCGCACGGTCTCACCCACTTGTCTCAACATCTTGGTCTCAGGCTTGGTCACCAGTTTGGTGTAGTGGTTAGGAGCGCAGACTCTAATCTGGGAGAACCGGGCTTGATTCCCCACTCCTCCACTTGCAGCTGCTGGTATGACCTTGGGTCAAGCACAAGTTCTTTCAGAGCTGTTCTCTCAGGAGCAGTCCTCAAGAGAGCTCCCTCAGCCCTGCCTACCTCACAGGGTGTCTGTTGTGGGGAGGGGAAAGGAAAGGAGATTGTGAGCCACTCTGAGACTCTGAGTTAAGGGCAGGGTATAAATCCAATCTCCTCCTTCTCCACCTCCTCCTCTTCTTCTTCTTCTTTCCTCAAAAGAGCTCTCTCAGCCCCACCTGCCTCACAGGGTGTCTGTTGTGGGGAGGGGAAGGGAAAGGAGATTGTGAACTGCTCTGAGACTCCGAGTGAAGGGCAGGGTATAAATCCAATCTCCTCCTTCTCCACCTCCTCCTCTTCTTCTTCTTCTTTCCTCAAGAGAGCTCCCTCAGCCCTGCCTACCTCACAGGGTGTCTGTTGTGGGGAGGGGAAAGGAAAGGAGATTGTGAGCCACTCTGAGACTCTGAGTTAAGGGCAGGGTATAAATCCAATCTCCTCCTTCTCCACCTCCTCCTCTTCTTCTTCTTCTTTCCTCAAAAGAGCTCTCTCAGCCCCACCTGCCTCACAGGGTGTCTGTTGTGGGGAGGGGAAGGGAAAGGAGATTGTGAACTGCTCTGAGACTCCGAGTGAAGGGCGGGGTATAAATCCAACCTCCTCTTCTTTCTTCTTCTCCTGTGACCTTTTGTTTTTGCCCTGCCGGCAACAGCATCCAGGACGTAGCTTCAGCCAAAGAAAGGACTGTCAGACCTTGCGAACTGCTGATCTTTTCTGCTCCTTGCAAGCTGCCGCTCCCCCCCCCCACTGACCACTGTGGCATTTTCCAAACACCCCCCCTCCCCAGGATCCGAGCTGAGAGTTTGTCGGGCCACTGGGATCACTCGTGTGCAGAAGCGGAGGCTGCTCAGTGGGCCAACGGCTCTCGGGAGAGATGCGCTTCAGTTCAGATGCCTGAAACAGCTTCAGTTCGAATCTGGCTCTTGCCAAAAAACCCTACCTGGAAGCTGAACTGCAGATTGCCAAGGGGGAAGGCGGGAGAGAGAAGGAGAAGGAGGAGGAGGAGGAGGAGGAGGAGGAGGAGGAGATTGGATTTATACCCCGCCCTTCACTTGGAGTCTCAGAGCGGCTTACAAACTCCTTTCCCTTCCCCTTCCCACAACAGACACCCTGGGAGGTAGGTGGGGCTGAGAGAACTCTGGCACAAATTGCTCTTTCAGGGACAGCTGTGCCAGAGCTTGTGACTGACCCAAGGTCACATCAACAGGTGCGA